TTGTCAATTAATATACTGTTTGTGTCTGTACTATTAAAATTGTAATGCTTACTTCAGTTACTTCCATCATAAGTACCTCACTGTAACCCAATTTTGTATTTTTTTTTACATTATTTTTTGTGGTAATCGTCTTTATGGCAAATGTGCTGTCAGTTGGGCTCATCTTGTATTAAAACCAAAATATCCCTTTAAAGTCAATGAATTTGATGACAAAAGAAACATAATGGAACAGTACAGGAAAGAAATGGCATCTCGTTCTTTACACACATCACACACGCGCCATTTAAAAAGTGCAAAACATTTCATGACTGGTCTGGAGTGACTAGTGGTTTGTATGCGCCTGCGCTACAATAAGTAACACTGAAGAAAAAGTCAAACGGATGAACACACTCAGACGTGGTTTGATGGAGACGGCTTCCTGTGCGGTCAGAGCCACCTACTGCCGGATGAAGACATGGCATCCTAAAACACATAAACCAAAGCAGCCCAATATGCACACATAACTAACACTGCTGGCTTTCCAATTCAGTGCTTCACATTTATAACATACTGTTAATACAACTCAAGTCATATATGAGCAGAGCAAACCCCCACACAGCACTGGTACAGATGATCAGTGGGCAGGTGCTCTACAGCCATGGCCAGACCCACACAGAATCTCTGCAGATTCACAAGTTCATCATATTCCTCGTCCCTTTAGTGTTCAATTTAAACATCATACAAACAATGTCTAGTTTGATCAATAGCTACTAATAAAATTACTCTCAGCTGTGTTTGGGTCTTTGACATGCAAGAGCGCCTATTAAAAAAGATTTATATTTTTATATTCATGTTGGTTTCACATGGTGGCTCTCAAGCAGGGGTCTAGGGCCCACTAACATGGCCTCAGAATGACTTAAAATAATTCCAATTATAGTTCTATTAAAATAATCGAACTTAATTAAAATGCTTAAAATAAAAAGAATAAAATGTGCATTCCCACGGGGAAGTCGTGGTCTAATGGTTAAGAGTCGGACTCTTAACCCAAAGGTTGTACCGGCAGGGATTGTAGGTGGGGGGAGTGAATGTACAGTGCTCTCTCCCACCTTCAATACCACGACTGAGGTGCCCTTGAGCAAGGCACCGAACCCCCAACTGCTCCCCGGGCGCCGCAGCATAAATGGCTGCCCACTGCTCCGGGTGTGTGTTCACTGCTGTGTGTGTGCACTTTGGATGGGATAAATGCAGAGCACTAATTCCAAGTATGGGTCACCATACTTGGCCACATGTCACGTCACTTTTTCCCTCAGCAACGATTGTTGAATTCTTGGAATTTTTTTGGAATCACAAAAATAATTGTGGCTGATTCCTTTAATATACTGACACTCCCAGTTAATAAAACAGTTTGAAAACAAGCAGCTTTGTAATAATTACAGCAAAAAAAAAAAAAAAAATACATGAAAAGCAACAAAGATACTAGTAAAACTAATACTAGGGGCCTTTAAATACTGTCGCAAATGCAAAAATATTGAGAACCACTGGAAATTATTATTATTTTTTTTATAAGTTTTAAATATATCTTTCAAGATTAAAAGTTTTGTTTTTACAAATATTATGAAGTAATATGGAACGAATGATTTGGAACCTAAATTAATCCCCAAAAATATTTTATATCAGAAATTAAAAACATAATTCATAAGATCGATTGCCTCCGATAGCCTCGTGGGCAGCGCGCCGACATATTGCGCCATTGCTCTTCGGACGTCCCGAGTTCGAGTCCCCGCTCGTGGACCTTTCCCGATCCCGCCCCCGTCTCTCTGTCCCACTTCACTTCCTGTCTAGCTACTGTCCTTTCAAAATAAAGGCATAAAACGCCAAAAATAAATCAAGAGGTGTATTTATATCTGTATATATGAATGTTTTTTTAATGTATTTTGAATAAATAATTGATTTTTAAAAAGAGCATCACATCATTGATCGATTGAACACATTTTACCAGCAGAAAGTTCCAATAAAATCAGCACAAAAATTCCATCTGGGCCTGGCGATGGCTAACACAATCAAATACTGCTTTGGAGAATAAAAGACAGATGAGAGCACAAAAAAAAATTAAATTAAAAACCTCAGTTCAGCTAAAGGGCTGAAAATCTGTACAAACCTACTACCAACACAGTGGCAATAGTGAGGTAAGAGACTAATTAGTGTGGAAAAGCATGGAAAGTATTGATCTGTCTTCTCTTGCCCTTGTTTCTAGGCTTGTTTTCTCTTTCCCTCGCTCACTCTGATTGTCCAAGTGGAAAATGTAGTAATGGTTTTTGCTTTTTTTTTTTTTTTTATAGATACATTCTGAGAGAGCATCTCTGCCCTCGCAGGTGCATGTGTTAGTGTCAGGATGATGCATTAGTCAGACCGCCAACGTTTCCATGTCTTTAAATTGCACAGTTCAGTCTCTCAGTTGTCTGCATCTGACCAGTCACATGACATGAATTAGTCACAATGCTGGTGCCATGTCAACGACCAGGGTGCGTTCATCAGACATCACTTCACCACGTCTGTCTACTGGAGCATTATAGTCTTTCGTTGTCGTCTCTCCCGTCCCGAGCTGGCGGTCAGTACGTCCAACATAAATCTGTCCAATCCAGTGAAATGATGGCGTAAGTCTCTAAAAAGTCTTTTGTAGTTGTACTGTGTTTGTGTCATTTCCTGCTTCATATCTTCTTATTTCAGTAAGTGTGTATCAGTAGTGGATAAGCATATGGGACTGGTCTGAAATGTTTTCTGAGTCTCTGTATGCAGTTTTTAGTGTACGTGTGCGTGTATTTGAGAATTCAAGAGGAGATGATCTCTTCATTCATGTGCCTCCATCCCTTCTGTGTCTCAACAGTTGGAAGATATTCTGTGAAAGAGAGATGGGTTTCAGAGCACAGACATTAATGTCCACAGTACAAGATGGAGGCAGGCAGAGCCTTACCTTACCGCACATACCATCTTTACTGCAGTTCTTATTGTCCTGGTCCGTGGCCTCCTCTTCAACCTGAAAAAACATATCAATCAATAAGAGCAAGAAGAGCAAGCAGACTCTCACTCAGAACTGAAGTACCCACCTCTTTTCTCCATTTGAGCTCACAGAAGACTCTCTCGAAGCACTCGTGCATGTAGTTGAACTGGAAAGGGAAAGGCATTTTTAGTGCCAGGGCTCAATGTGTTTAAAAATGTCCAATTATGAATGTTTAAAATGGCAAGGCTTCAAATATGTATGTGACACTGGACCACAAAACCAGTCATAAGGGTCAATTTTTTGAAATTGAGATTTATATGTATAAATAAGCTTTCCATTGATGTATGGTTTGGATAGATAGGACCATATTTGGCCGAGATACAACTATTTGAAAATCTGGAATATGAGGGTGCAAAAAAATCTAAATATTAAGAAAATTGCCTTTAAAGTTGTCCAAATGAAGTTCTTAGCAACGCATATTACTAATAATTAATCAACAATTAAGTTCTGGTTATATTTACGTTAGGACATTTACAAAGTATCTTGATGGAACATGATCTTTTCTTAATATCCTAATGATAAATAGAAAAATTTGACCCATACAATGTACTGTTGGCTATTGCTACAAATACACCCGCGCCACTAATGACTGGTTTTATGGTCCAGGGTCACATATGCCAATGACAAACTTTCATGGCAACAGAGTCTTGTGCATGATGCAAGATCACATGGATGTATGGGACTCACATATGGAGTGAAGATTTTGACCCAGCGAGGTTTCTTCTCCCCTCGCGCATACTCGAAACAGAAAGCCATTCCCTCTTCATCCGTGTCCCATCTCTGCATCTCGGACCATTCAAAAGCTATCACCTGATTCTGTAATGACAGATCATTTAGAAGTCTTCTGAACTGTTTTTCTAATTTATAAAATCAATAAGCAACTTTTTACTCCATCGGAGCGAACACATTCACCTCTAGAGTGCCATCCTCGGTGCACGCATGGAGTTTAAAGTGGCGGATGCTTATCGCAGTGACCACGTGACCTTTCCTACGCGAGTCACAGGAGCAGTGTGGGAAAGTGATCTCATTGTAGCCCTCACAAGTCCTCAGAATACTTAAATACTGGAGAGGAAGAAGCAAACAATTGCATTAAGATTCTATCACTTTTCGGTTAGGGATGTACTGCACAATATGTTATGATGATATCCAATACATTTTATTAATACGCTACTGTTCAAAAGTTTGGGGTTGGTGAGATATTTTAATATTTTTGAAAAAAGACTCAGGCTCACCAAGATTTAAAACAAAAAAATACAGTAAAACCAGCATTACTGTAAAAAATTATTACCATTTAAAATAACCGTTTTGTATATTAATATATTGAAAAATTAATTTTATTCCTGTGATACAAAGCTGAATTTTCAGCAGCCATTACTCCAGTTTTCAATTTTACGTGATCCTTCAGAAATCATTCTAATATGCTGATTTAACATTTCTTATTATTATGAATGTTAAAGTTGTGTTGTTTAATATTTTTGTGGAAACCATGTTCAAAAGAACAGAATTTATTTGAATTAGAAATACTTTAAAACAAATGCCTTTACTGTCACTTTAAATCAATTTAATGCATCCATGATGAATCAAAATATTAATAATAAAAATTACTGATCCCATATTTTGAAGGGTAGTATGTGGGCAGTATTAAAATTATACACTATATGTATAATTGTATACACTAAATGTATTATGAGAGCACTAGATGACAAAAGCAATTAAAATGGAAACACGCATTTTTAAAATTCAGTCATTTACTCACTTTAATGTAATTCCAAATCCATACAATGTTATTTTTTTCAATGGAACCAGGGTAGTCCACATGACCACTCATGGTCTGTATTTAAAGTTTTCTGAATCCAACAGATGTGTGAGATAAACAGACCATAATTCACTCTTAAATCAGATGTTCCAATCAAACTTCATGATGTCAAATCTGTGATATCTGATATTTGATTTGAGAGCTGGAAAGGATTCCATGATTCAAAACTTTTCTTTTGTGTTCCACAGAAAACATAACAGTGCACAGGTGTGGAATGACATGATGTTAATTAAATAATGATTGAGTTTTCTTTTTTTTTTAACCCCCAGACCTCCACTACTTCCTATAATCTGTGAAACTGCATTGTTTGTTGACTGACCATGGTCATTTTCCTCTGTTCGGTGAGCTTTTGGAGCTGGTAGGATTTCTCTCCCACTTTGATGAATCCCTTTTTCACATCATCCAGAGCCTGAGAAAGGACACAAGTAAACATACAGCAGTTACAGATTAAAAGCACACTGCCGCATCATGAACAGTGAGTGATCTGCCTGCTACAGTATTTTTCTCTGTAACGTTACATCCGTCTTCAGCGTCTCTGGCCTCTGTTAACGGGCGTTTACAGACTTCATATTTTCACATAAATGACATTTGGAAAATGATATCCATTGCAACGCAGTTTGTGCAAGTCCAGAACAGAGATAGGCTGCAATAAAACAATAAACGGCCGGTTGCCGATCGCGTAAGTTCCAGAGGAAGCTCCTTCGGCCGTCTTACACACAAGAACGGTATAACGGAAAATATTAGCGGTTTTGAAACCGTGACATTTTCAAATCGCGGTATACCTTGAAACAGGTAATCGGCCCATGCCTAGCCACAAGCACACATTTGCTTGAAAACACACACAGTGCAGACCTGATGAAAGCAATAGTTGATGGCCAGCTCATTATCATTGAGTAGAATCTCTTCTTCTGTGGTGAAGAGCCACTTGCGAAGCATGAGGCAGGTGCCTGGGACGGCAGACGTATAGTTCTGCACATACAGCTTATGTGGAAACTCATTAGGGGCCAGCTTGCGTGCTAAGAGATCGAGAGAGACAGAGACATAGACGTCAATAAGCAGCAAGAAATAGGGACAGAGAGGGCAAAGTGTAAAAGATGAGGAGTCAGAGTATTTATAGAAAGACTTTATTGTGTACTTCATTCATCATTATATGTCACTTTATATCATGAATATTATATATTTAGATTTAATAGATAGATACTATATATCGTAAGGAAAATTAATACTTTTTTCAGCGAGGAGGTGCATTAAATATCACAGTAAAGACATTTACATGCTTTCAAAAGATTTATATTTCAAATAAATGCTGTTCGTTTGAAGTTTTTATTCAAATAACCCTGAAAAAAAATGTATTACGGTTTTCACAACAAATATTAAACAAAAACATCTATTTTCAACATGGATAAAAATAATATGTTTCTTCAATTCCAGACATTGAAGACTGGAGTAACGGCTGATGAAAACGGAGCTTTGCCATAACATTAAATAAAAACAAACAGAGAAATAAATGAACAAACATTATGTGCGTTTATGTACATATATGTTCACTTCCAGTCAAAAGTTTTTGAACAGTAAGATTTTAAATGTTTTAAAAAAAATTTCTTCTGCTCACCAAGCCTGCATTTATTTGATCCAAAGGACAGCAAAAGCAGTAATATTGTGAGATATTTTTACTATTTAAAATAATTGCTTTTTATTTGAATATTTCAAAATGTAATTTATTCCGGTGATCAAATCTAAATTTTCAGCATCATTATTTCAGTCTTCAGTGTCACATGATCCATGGGGGGGGGGTTCTATAAGGGTTATAGAAATTAATACTTTTATTTAGTGATTATGGCATTTATATAGTTACAAAAGATTTCTATTTCAGATAAATTTTGTTCTTCTGAGCTTTATATTCATCAAAGAAACCTGAAAAATTCTACTCCGCTGTTTTCAACATCTCTTTGATATTCAACAGTATCGCGTTTCACTGTTTGTATCACTGCAGTATTCCTCACAGTGGCGCCAGGTTCACACATACTCCGTTTGCAGTATGTATGCGGAGCGTATTTATTTCCGCGCCCATATTAATGTATTGCGGTCCGTCAT